TGTGGAATCCAGGCCGGCTGGCAATGGGGGCGAGGAAAGGCAGCCAAGACTGTTATCTGTAGCAGCCTTCTGTGTGGTACTCCAAAAGAACAGGCCGGACTCGGAGCATCTTGTTCTCCTCCTGGCCTTGTGGATTTTGCCAGCTAGCTGGCCGGCTTCTTTTGAGCGGTCCTGGGTCTCCAAGGGAGTGGGAAGCCACATAAACCACGGCCACTTCTACAGACCACATGGGGTGCCTTTCGGCCTGAACTGCTGCTGCAGCCGATGCAAAATGTTTTGTCCCTTTTGCTGAAAAGAGCAAAACGGTTTGGGTTTGCGCTCAGCTTTCTTCTGACCCCCTGGGTTCCCTGTTTGCTTGAATGGCTAGACTCCTCCGTGGGTGTTGGCTGGGGCGGCCGCGATCCGAGGAGCGCCGGGCGGGGAGTCTGAAGGGCAGAAACCGGACTGTGAGCTCACCCCTCTCTCCTGCCCAAATTCATTTGAACCTGAGCACTGGTTTATTTATTTTAATTTATAGAGCAGGGGGGAAAAACTGCTTTTGACTCAGGATGGAGCTTTCTGGCGGATACGGGTTTCCTTAAATGTTGGTTTGAGCAGGGAGGCAGGAGGATGCTGTTTCAAGCGGTGTCTTCTTTCAGAGACCGTTATTCTTCCAGTCTGAAGGTAGGGGGAACCCAGGGAGATGCTGCAGGAAAAGGAGTTTTCTGCAGATAGATGGTAGAAGCAACTGCAGCTTCTTTAGTTTGGGCAGGGAGGAGGTGTTTCCTCCTTGGGCGAAGAAAACCTTGGGTGCCCACGTGGGAAGAAGCACGTTGCATTGTTCGACTCTCACGGCAGCCCCAGGTACCGTGGCGGTGACGTCAGAGCCAAGGCATCTGGCGCGGCTGCCCCAAAGGCACGTTCGTGCACGTCCGGCGTGGTTTCGGTGGAAGCCAAATGCAACCGAGAAGGAGCGGCGATTCTTAATCTTTAGCCCTCCTGCTGATTTCCTTGAGCTTGTCATGCAGCTTTTATATAGTCTGGCCAGCTTGGGAGAGCTGAAGCCCCAGACCTCAGGAGGACAAACGCTTGAGAAAAACTGATGTAACAAGACACCCCCCCCCAAAAAAAACACACTGCAAAGTAAATGGGATGATAAAGCAGCCTTGAAAACTCGAAAGCAGACGCCACCGTAACAAATAGTATTCCAGACGGTCAGGCACAACGCAAAACTTACAATCGGGAAGAGAACTCAAGTGGCAAAGGGTTCCATAGGCTCAGCACCACCATTACAAGGTCTTGCCTGGATTCTCGTTTTTCCGTCAAGCAGATGGGTTCAGGTTTTTAGCAGTGAAAACGAGGGATAAACTAACTGGGAGTCTCCCTCCCCAATTCCTTCTCACATGAAATCCAAAAGGCTGCTCTCCTTCGACAGCGAATTATTGTGTCTCTCCTGTCTGTTTCTGCAGGAACCTTGGATTCTTTCTCCTGAGAAAATGACCCCTCCTTTTCTGCTGCTGCTGCTGGGACTCTTCTTTTTTGGGGATGGGGGCCACTGTCTTGTCCCTGCTGAGGAGCTGCAACGTAAGTGTGTGTGTGTGTGTGTGTGGGGGAGGGAAGGTGGAGGTGGAGGTGGTGGGCTCTTAGCAGAGGTTGCAGCGAAGTTACTCTCTCTGTTCCCAAAGGGGGGATTCTGAGACGTACCGTGCAAAAAACTGCACTTTGCCAAGCTTCAGCGGTCTCAGTCCTGTTTGTTTTTATTGCATGGGTACCAGATTTGGGATTCTTGGGCCTTCAGGAAAAGGTGGTGTCCTTTTTGAGGGTTTGGGCAAAGAATCTGGAAAACCTTTGCTAGGAAACTCTGACTGTGCCTGCAACCAGGTGCGTGTTTTTTTTCCCCATACGGCCTTATTCCTGGGCATGGAAACTGGAGAGAATGAGGTGAGGCACAGGAAAAAAAAAAGGAGGAGTTTATTCCTGTGCCCGTAATTGATGCCCAGCTGCAGGATGCCCACTTAGGCCAAAAGCACAGCACCTCCCCAGACCCTCAGCCTCAAAACAGCCCCAGCCCCCGTTTTGTCCAACGAGGCACCGTTTCTGAAGCAGCCGCCTGGCCTGGACCGTGAAGTCACTTCCCCACACAGTGACTCACAGGCAGCTTGTGGCTTGTTGACGGGAGGAGGGGGGGATTAATTCTGCTTCATCAGACCTCGGTGTTTTGCTCGTGTGGCCCGATTATGCAAGAGGCAAGCGTGCAGGACGGAGGCTGGCAGTTCTTGCTGGCAGGAGGGGAGGACAGCGGCCGAGGGAGGCAGCTTAGAGCTTCCAGAGGCGGAAGTGTTTGTAATGCCAGTCAGGAGGGTTCGGGGAAATGGCGGTGGCGACGGGGGGGGGGTTGATTCGAGAAAGGACAGGACCAGCGGAAGGAGGGATCCTTCTCTTTCTGGGCCTGATTGGAATTCACGGCAGTGTGGGATCTCGGCTAGGAAAGACGGCTTTTGGGAGTTTCAGCATTTACAGAACATCTCAGCCAGCAGAGCGCGAGAGCCCGTGGCCCCAAAGAGGGACAAAGAAATCCTGCCGAGGCAGAATTCTCCTCGGGGAGCGTCTCTCCTTCCCTCGCTTTCTCTCCGATCTTGCTTTCTCTGCCGGATCGGACGGTTCCAAGCACAAAGTGGCGGAGGAGACACCTAGGCTCGGATGCCTGCCTACGGAGAGCTCCGTTTTTTTCTAGCGTGCATCCCACACCCGCCACACGTCTAGAGGCTTCTCGCAGTTCTGCTCCCAAAAAGTTCCTTTTCTCGGCTCAGAGGGGGGGCGTTGTTGGCTTCTCCCAAAACCGTTTGGGCGGAGCGACAGAGGCGTTGAACGGCCCACGTGCCCTTCACTTTCAAGGTGGCCAAGCGGAACACCTCTCAAGGGGCCTGTTCCCATTCTTTCTTTCCGGGGGCCTCTCCTTTGTGTCCCCTTTGCTAAGTTGTCCCTTGTGTGCGTGTGTGTGTGTGAGAGAGGTGTGGAGTGTTTGGGCACACCCTCTCTCTTTCCCCTCTCAGCCTCCCTGGAAATGGCTTGGGAGGGGTGCCAGTCAGATGAATGTTGGCCGAGAGCCACCTGGCGCTTTTGCGCCAGCCGTGAGAGACAATTGTGTCTTTTTTTGGAGTGTTGATGGCAGCTTTAGTTGCAGTCTTTTTCCTACACACAAAGAGAAAAAGAGAGAGAGAGGTTTTCACTTTCTCGTTCCCTCGCCCTTCCTTCCTGACCATGGCCGTGTGGCACGAAGCACAGGAGCCAGCAGCCGTGGGCAAGGGGGGGCCCCCTCTGCCCTCGACAAGGGCTGGTCACCTTCTCCCGGACCCACTTTCTTAGTTCCTAAATGGCAACACAACTCATAATAACGTCCCACTTGTTCCTGACCAGCAATTAAAATAGATCAGGGCTTGGATGAGAGGCTTCCAGGCTTTCTGTTGAAAATGCAACATTCATTGAGCTTTGCTTGCAGCCAAGAAATTGGGGGGGGGGGCACAGAGGATGCCAGGGAGCAGCCACGCTGGGATCGACCTTGCTTGGCCTGTGCCAGGCCGCGGGTCCATTGGGCCGATCCATGCCTGTTCTTACTGGGAGCAGAGGCTGAGCAGCGGCCCCTTCTCCACGCGGCCCCTTCCCCGGTGCTCTTCTTGCTTCTGCGCCACCAGGCTGCTTCCAAACTTAGGGTGACTCTGCTGAAGTCCGTGTGATGTTCAAGGAGGGTTTTACCATTGCCATCCGCCCCCCGTGGGCTTCTGCAGCCGAGCGAGGTCTTGAACCCAGGACTGACATTCTCTCTCTTACACTGGCTCCTGGGCATCAGCTGCAGAGCCCTAAATGACCCCATTAATAACTGCTCAAGAGGAGGTTTTCCAGCCCTTCAACTGGGAACTCGGGGTGGGTGCAAGGAGGAGCACCCTTCCTCAGTTAATCATCCTTTTTCTTTGAGGGGGGGGGGAATCCCAGTGTGGTGTATGTAGTGGATAGAATGATGTGCTAGGACTCTGTTCAAATCCTAACATGGCCACAGAAATTCACTGGGGGAGTAGAACGGGTAAAACCACCCCTTAAGCATCTCACTTACTTTGAAAGCTCAGTTAGGGTGGCTGTACGGGACAGAACCCGCTTAATAGAACAGAACACACACACACAGCGATCCTCTGAGAGACCCTCCCCCTGAAGGTTTTTTTTTATTAAAGGTGCTTTTTAAAATACGTAGTTTTAGTACTTCTGCAAATCTTGGGGTTCCCTGAGTCTACAGAGATCCCCTTTTTGTGAACATGGGACGTGCTCGGGCTCCAGAAGGACCCGCACCTTGCAGAGGAGATCATGGTTGGTCTGCTGGAGTGTCCCCCCCCCCCACCTAGGGCATTCCCAACGTGTTAAGACTACAACACCCTTTTTCCACACCTTCCGGGCTGTGGGAGAATGGGATTTGTAATCCAATGGTTGAGAAGGCACCAGAAATTTATTTTATTTTATTTTATTTATTTAGTGGTTGAGAAGGCACCAGAAAAGGTGGACACTTCTATAAAAGAGATGTGTGTTGCATTTGATTATAACCCAAGTTTGCCTTGAAGCCTGTTTCTCCCCCCCCCTCGATTGGGCTCGAGTAGCTCCCCGTAGCCCAGAAGGCAACAGCCGACCCTCCTCAGGCCTAAACGGTTGAACTTTTCTGTAAAGGCGCTTCCCGGTTGTTGTTGAGGAGGCTCTTCTTCAGAAACTCCCTGTTGGTCTTCGATGAGGATGCTCCTTAAGAAGGGATTTGTGCCGCGGTGTGGGGCTTTTGTCCTGCTGAGGGAACTCACCCCACCTCTCCCCTCCTCAGAGCTGTCGGAGACGGGAAGCAAGTTCATTGACTCGGAGCTGGAGAACGCCATCAACGGCGTCCGGCAAATGAAGGCGCTGATGGAGCAGACCAGCAACGACCACCGGGAGATCTTGAACAGCCTGGAGGACACCAAGAAGCAGAAGGAGGTCGGTTGGTCGGTCTCTCCTTTAGCTGGGGTGCTGAGGCAAAATTCCCCTCCAGGACCCCTGCCAGCCTGAGGTCCAGTTCCTCCCCAACGTGGTCACTGCGTTTCCCAGTGAAACAGCGCCGGACCGGCCCCGAGTTTGCAGGAGGATTGAATCTGTTCTGTGGTTTAGTTTGAATGTTACATCCAAGGTGTAAAGTAGGGGAGGAAAGCCTTTAAAGTTCAGACTAAAACCCAAAGCAAAAGTAGCACCCCTATGTAATCGGAGCCTGTGTTCTCAGGAAATAGGCCAACTCCACGTATTGTCTCATTTTCTGTTTTATTTGCCATGGGATATGTTTCAAAATCTTAATTTCTTTTCCTTTTATAGTGGATCCCTTATCTTGCCTATTTCTTAGAACTTTTTCTCAAAATACCCTTCTCGTGAATTTAACATGAATTTCTCTGGGGAGTTTATTATTCCTATAATGCTGTATTAATTTTTTGTGCTGTATCTATATTTTGCTGACTTCTTCTGGTCTCTTCTGTTACCCAAATGGGTTGTTTTTTTTCTTTATATCCTGGGGAGAGAGACAATGAGAGGAGAGAGAGAGAGAGCGCGCCCAGCCAACTAGTGACAAGCAGACCATACATTCAATAATTTTGGGTTAAGCGCTATTCATGTAACATTTATTGATGAGACCTAAGACATAGGATATAAGACAAAAGGCACCAAGAGGCCTCTCATTCATACTTCCCATTCACACAAGATACTCATCCAAAAGACCCTTCTCTGGAGGGTGATCAGTCTTTCCGTAAGAGCAATGGGAGCAATTCTTGCAGCGCAGTCAAAGCCCACCTGTCTCTTCCTGGGTCCTCCTTCTTCTAGGCATAGAACTCCCTTGTGGACAAGCAGGGGGTCAGACTCTGGTTTCCTGGGAAGATACAACCTGTTGCCATCCAGGAACGCTTCCTTTCACGTGTACACCTTGTTCCATCTGCCACAGACTGGGCTTCAGCTGGCCTGCTTCCTCTTTCTTGTCTAGACAGCTGGTCATGGCCTGCCTTACTTTTTTCTGTCTGCACAAACAAGTCCACATTTAGAATATTCTTTCCACATCTGCGGTTCCTTACTGATCTCGAAACCCTTGCAATTCTTTGCAGACTTGTATCAGGCTCGCCATGCCGCCTTTCCTTGCAATTTCTCCATCTTCTTCTCAGGTATGAGGTGCTGATCTTTCTGGAACCCCCACACACTCTGTCACTCATAACACATCTCCATAAGTGGGGCAAAAAAAATTAGTTACCTATTGTACTATTTCTTCACCTTTTTGTTCTTGAAGATTCTGGAATCTTAAGTATGAGGTTGGCTCGTTCCACTTGTATCTTTAGCAGCTTGATTTCATCTTGTTTTCTTTCATAATGTATCACTACCAGCTCTGCATTCATAATCTCCATTTTTCTCCTGTTTTTTTTTTTTAAAGACTTTTTCTATTTTGGCTATTTCTTTTTTATTTTCTATAATTTGCAGTTTAATATCAGTCATTTGTGATTTTAAAGCTTTGATTTGTTCAGATAGCTGAGCCATTCCTCCTTATATCTGCTGTAATCCTGTGGATAACATATTTTGCATGCTCTGTTGTCAATCGTTAAGTGTTTCTTGCTCCAATAATTTCAGACTTTGTTTTTGCGCAGGTGAGCCTCTTGAGTTTTCTTCTTCTTCTTTTCCTACCTTCGCTGCCCTTTTTCAAGTTTTTAAAAAATGCTGTTTGGGTCTTTTCATAGCAAGTGTTGCTGTTGCCTTACTTTACATTCAAGAAACACTGTTCACATTGCCCATCCAAAACAGAGATTAGCACTTCTCTCTCCTTAAAATGTTCTGGCAGCCACCAGTCAAATCAATGTGTGTTTAAAATAACAGACCATGCCTTGAGGCAACTAACATTAGCAGATCAAGCTTTCTCTCCAGCCTCAGTAATTAGGGGTAGGCCCTTCAATCAAAGCTGTTCTGGACTACAGGAGGGGAGGGTCCCCTCCACCGCAGTGCCAGTGGAAACAAAGGTGCCTCCGATTCAGTGATGTTACACAATCTAAGACTCTTCTTATACCTCCACCGCGGTGCCAGTGGAAACAAAGGTGCCTCCAATTCAGTGATGTTACACAATCTAAGACTTCTTAAGTTGCAAAGTTCAAAAGTTCTATTTTCTGATTCTAGCTTTCTCCATCAGCATTGTAGTTAGACCATTCACTAGATTAGACTATCTCATGGGAGCGGGTCTTTGCCTTTGACTAAAACAGTTCATTCACCAAAGGACTTTCTCCCCTCCTCCCTCTTTCTCCTTCTCTTTCTTCTCCAGCCTGATCAAGGCTGAGGGATGGGGGAAGGCTCGCTTCTACTGCAGCTCAAAGAATTACAGGATCTAATCTGCTTTCGCTAACTCGTTAAGCCCAGCTTTTTTCTGGGTTATTGTTTTAGGTCCATAAAGGTTTCTTTATATAAAACACATCTCTTGATTAACTTAGAGTCCTGGTCAGGATATTTTCCCAAATCCTTCTGTATTCGTTCCCAGCTCTTTTTCCAACATGGCTTCCTCCTCGGTTCGTGCACTCAGATGTGACTTTGGGGGGGGGCAGTTGGCTTCTGCCAACTTCTCTCCCCTTTGCGTCGTCTCTGCTGCTTTAGAAACTGCTTTTCCTAGTGGACCTTCCTTTTGTCCTCTACATTGGGGGCCTCGAAACTGAGGGCAGTTTCCTGCAGTTAGAGAACAGCCTCTTTCCCTGCTCTTCCTTCATCAGATGTGTTCCCTTTGGAAGTGTTTTCATACTTACACCTTTTTACTGCTCGAGGGAGCACTCCTTTCAGAAACAGATTTCCTGACTGTGATCTTGAACCTGGTTATACGTCCTGGGAGGAAACTTGTTGGCCACCACCAACTCTGCTTCAAGGGAACCATGTTCCCAAGCTCTGGAAACAGGATCCTACCCATTGATCTCAAGATCTTAAGGCCTTCTTGTAGCTGCGCCTCCCCGACTCCAGCCTCTGCCTCCTCGGTGAGAGGCAGGGCTTTGCTTGGAAGGAGAGCTAACGGGTAGGTTTCGTCCCCAGGAGGCCCTCATGCTTGCAAAGGAGGTGGAGAAACAGCTGAGTGAGAAGGAGGTCTGCAATGAGACCATGCTGGCCCTTTGGGAAGACTGCAAGCCTTGCCTGAAGCAGACCTGCATGAGATTCTACACCCGGACATGCCACAGTGGGGCCGGGCTGGTCGGCAGACAGGTGAGCTAGCCAAACCCTGGACGGTGGGGGCGTGTCTGCGTGAGGGTGAGTTTGGTGCTTTTTTTCCCCTCCCAAGATGTGGTGAAGGCAAGAATGGGATTCTCATGAAAGTGGCCGTTTCCCTACCGAGACCGCAATGAGCCGATCCACGCTTTCCCCCTCTTACCTGGGAATTGGTCTCTGTGCAGCAGCTTTCCTGCCTGTCCAGCAGAGCGTCGTCCCACCCTTTGAAGACCGGCGGTCAGGAACAGCTGGCGGCTTGAAGGGGGAGCTTTTTGCGGGGGGGGGGTGGCTCTTGTGGCAGCTGAAGGCCTAGGAGGAGCAGGTGCGATGACCCTCTCTGTGGGGGGGGATATTCTTTTAAAAAAAAAAAACTAGAAGAAACGGCATAAAAAGAAAAAGAATGGCTGTCGAAATGTAACACTAGAAAGTAACTGGAAAAATGTGGCTGTTCCGTTAGTGCTACTCCTTGCATCGCTTTCTGAAAAGTAACTCTGTTGCCTCCAGGAGAGGAACTCGTTGCTGGGCACCGTTCGCTCGTAAGGTTCCATTTCCATGGTCTTCTTCATGGACAAGGAGCCCCATTTTACCCATCCCCCCCAAGCCTTGGGCCGTTCCGCCCTAACCTTTTGCCGGCTTGCTCCCCTTTTCTTCAGCTGGAGGAGTTCTTGAACCACTCGTCCCCCGTCTCCGTCTGGGTCAACGGAGAGCGGATCGACACCCTGATGGACGCGGACGAAGAGCAGGGCCGGCGGCTGGACGACCTGGAGGAGCGCTACAGCCTGGTGGAGGACGGGGTGGACCAACTCTTCCAGGAAAGCAGCCGGGCCTACGGGCAGTTGTCTCCCTTCTTCCGCCCACCCTTTGGGGGTTTCCGGGACCCCGTCCGCAGCATCCGCATCCCGTACGCCGGCACCCGTATCGCCCGGAGCGCGTCCCCCTACCCCTTCTACCCGAGCCCGTACCACCACGTGCACCAGGATTTCCACCACTTCTTCCAGCCGTTCTACGAGATGACCCAGCGCCTCTTTGAGGGAGCGCAGAGAGCCATGGAGAGGGACGGCCAGTGGCTGGACGGGAGTACCGGGCCTTTCCTGGGAAGACTCCCAACAGGTGAGCCGGGGGGAGGGGGGAGGGGAGTCCTCGGCTGCTGAGCCTACCTGGACGGCCGAGCATCCTTCAACGGCCTCCCGCCTTGCAGATGGGTGGAAGGCACTACCTTCTCTCCCTGTGTGTCAGGATGGATGATTTTATTCCTCCAGAGTCATGCTTTCATCCCTACAGAATGACTCGGTCTAGCACAGAGGCAACCTGTGACATTGTCTTCATCTCCAGGATACTCCCCTCCCTCCCTTTTATGTGTGTGTGTGTCGGGGGGGCACTTCCGGGGCCTGCAGAGGCGACCACTGCCTCCCCCCTTCCATGGTGCCACAGGGAGGAGGGAGTGAGTGCGACACTTTTGCACCCACCCCCTCCCTCTTCCTCTTTGGAGGACAGGGTTGTGCCCGCTTGATGCTCCTGTGCAGAGCATGGACAGGCCGCTCCGTTTGCAGAATGGACTGCCATGCCCAGAATTTCCCAGGCAGCCGCATGGCCATTGGCTGTTGTAGTCCAGGCAAGCAAGGCTTCTCAGCTCTGGTCCCATAACCTGGGTCATGCTTTGGGATGTCTGCCATGCATGAGCAGCGGAGCAGCCGTTGGCCATGGTGCCGGCTGAGCCTCCTCTCACGTTGGTGGTGGTCCAGGAACGGCCGCTGTCCTGGCAAGCAGCAGGTGGGTTAATCACAGCCCTGCCGGGTGGATTTCATGCCTCCAGGGGACTCCAAGGCTGATTTGGAGGTCACTTGGCCATTCTACAGATTGATAGGAAAAGGGAAGGGTGGGATGATAGGGAGGGGAAGGAGAGGATGACAGGAGCCGGTGGCTCTGCCCGCTAATGGAATGGCAAACCCACTCTGCTTCGGGGTAACCTAGGAAGACCGTGAAGTCTCTGGTCAGCAAGTCATGGGGTGGGGTGCCAAACTCAGGTTTGAGAGAGGAGATGAAAAGAGAGGGGAAAAACCCACCTCACCTCGCAGGTATCACCTCCACTCCACGAGTCTGAAGGATCTGGCAGGGGTGGGCCCTCTCAGCCAGGGTCCTGGCAGAAGGTCGAAGCCTGGCCAAAGAGGCTGATTTGTGGTGGTTGTGGGTTTTTCAGGCTCTTTGGCCGTGTTTTGAAGGTTGTTCTTCCTGAGGGTTTTTCAGGCTCTTTGGCCGTGTTCTGAAAGTTGTTCTTCCTAAGGTTCGTTTCACCACTGTGGCCATGAGCATCTTCAGAGGACAGGAGTCGGAACTCTGTGCTCTGGACCTGTTTTGACTCCTGTCCTCTGAAGATGCCCACGGCCACAGAGACTGGAGAAACGTCAGGAAGAACAACCTTCAGAACACGGCCAAAGAGCCCGAAAAACCCACAACAACCGTCAGATCCCGGCTGTGAAAGCCTTCACAAATACATTAGGCTGATTTGTATCTGTTTAATAAATTTATTTTAAAACGGTAGCGGTTATGCATTTGAAAACCTGGCACAGTGGGTCTTAGTTATCTGAAAAATGAGTGTAACTTAAAAAGGGGGGCTGACCTGCTGGCCAAAATTTTCAAAAATGTTTTGGGGGGTTATGGGTAACCAAAACTGTCTCCCCCCCCCCGGGCTCCTAGAAGGCACAAGGAAAGAAAAAAGGGAGGATGTGGGGCAGCCCTCAATGGGATGTGGCAAAATTGTGAGAAAAGGAATTTTGAAGGGAAAAAGGTATTGGGGGGGAAGTTGCTCTTTTTTGGAGGACCTGGGGGTTAGAAGGTCCCAGGGGGCTGTGGCATGCAGAAATGCCCCCGGGTTACATCGTGGTGGCATTCCATATTGCGTTACTCTGAAGTAGAGGAAGGTGCCTAACCGTGGGTGGGCCTAGCCCGCGGTGTCCCTCTGGCTAGCCGCCGGGGATTTCCGGGGTCCCTCTGAGCTTTACTCCAAGTGGTGGTTTAAGCTGAAGCTGTGGGGTGGCCCCACTGGGGTGGGCACGCCTGGTGACCTTCTTCCTGTTTCTCCCCCCGGGCAGGGACTGCCAGTCCAAATGACAACCGCATGGTGTGCCGTGAGATCCGGCGCAACTCGGCCGGCTGCCTGCGAATGAAGGAGAAGTGTGAGAAATGCCGGGCCATCTTGGATGTCGGTGAGTTGGGGCAGGGTGGTGGTGGAGACGGTGGTGGCCTCGGCACCTTTAGGTCATGACGAGCCCTTGGAAGAAATCCTTTTGGGGAGGCGGAGGCAGGCCCCAGAATCCCTTCGCTCTTGTGGCCAGAAGCAGAATAGAAATGGAGCTTGTGAATTGATGGAGCCTCGTGGCACAGCGGTTAAACTGCTGTCCTGCAGCCAAGACTGCTCACAACCCGGGCTCAACCCCAGGTCGCCAGCTCGAGGTGGGCTCAGCCTTCCATCCTTCCAAGGTCGATAAATTAAGTACCCGGCTCACTGGGGAGGATGTGTGTGCGTGTGCAATGTGTAGTGTGCATAACTCACTTGTAAACTGCCCAGCGAGTTCTTTAAGTGCCCTGGGGCGGAATATAAGCAGCACACTTTGCTTCTATTATGAGAGCTGTTTCTAGTCGGAGACTCTAGAAATGGAAAAAAGCAGAGTTTAGGTTTCCTGCTTTCTGGATCCTGGAAAACAGAAGAAGAGGAAGGGGGACTTTTGTGATGCTTGCTGGTACAGAGTTCTCTTAAGAGGCAAAAATGGAAGTCTCACGCTCCCTTTAAGCCCCATACCTTTCTTAGGGTGGGTGTCCCCATGGGTTTAACGTTAAAGGTGCTGCAACACTTTTGCTTGGCTTTGCTTCCTTTTTCTCTCTTCACTTCTGTGGAGTTTGGCCTCCCTCTCGTGTTGTCTACTCTGACTGGCAGCTGCAGTCCCTCCTTTCTGGGATTCCTCTCGGCTGAGGGTGGACAGCCTTTTTTTCCCCCCTGTGGAGCAGCCCCATGTTTTACCTGTTTTGTTACCCAAGGCGCCGCTGCCCGATGGGTTGAGTTTGGGTTGTGGGCAGATGGGCACCTGGGGAGAGGGAAAGGAGAGGTTCACGCCTTTTTAGGAGCTGTTGTACAGAAGGAAGGACATCCTTTCTGGGATTCCTCTCGGCTGAGGGTGGACAGCCTTTTTTTCCCCCCTGTGGAGCAGCCCCATGTTTTACCTGTTTTGTTACCCAAGGCGCCGCTGCCCGATGGGTTGAGTTTGGGTTGTGGGCAGATGGGCACCTGGGGAGAGGGAAAGGAGAGGTTCACGCCTTTTTAGGAGCTGTTGTACAGAAGGAAGGACACATCATCATGCAAATCCCAGCAGAGAGGTTCACGCCTTATTAGGAGCTGTTGTACAGAAGGAAGGACACGTCATCATGGGCTCAAGTTGGAGGAAGCTAGATTTTTTTGTATATCAGGGAAAACGTCCTAACTGTTAGAGCAGTACGACAACGGAACCCATGACCCCAAGGGGAGGTGGTGAGCCCTCCAAGGCTGGAGGGATGGAGTTCAAGAGAAAATGGGACCACCGTCTGTCAGACCTGTTTTGATTTCGATCCCTGCCTTGAGCAGGAGGTTAGGCTCGATGGCTTTAGAGGCCCCCTTCCAACCATTAAGTCTCTGATGTCAAAGTCCCGCTCACCCTCCCTTAGTCACAGCTCTGCTTGGGAGGCTCAAAGGCTCTCTTGGGTTAAAAGGTTTGGTGTCTGCATGCCCATGTGGACCGGACGTGAGGCCAGCTGTAGAGGCCAGCTTGACCTGGGGGGGTTCCCAACTCCTGCAACATGACAGACGGGCTCTCTTCTGTCCTTCCTCTCTTCCTCCTCTGTTCACCCTGAATCCCGCACAGATTGCTCCCAGACACCATTAAGTCTCTGATGTCAAAGTCCCGCTCACCCTCCCTTAGTCTCAGCTCTGCTTGGGAGGCTCAAAGGCTCTCTTGGGTTAAAAGGCTTGGTGTCTGCATGCCCATGTGGACCGGACGTGAGGCCAGCTGTAGAGGCCAGCTTGACCTGGGGGGGTTCCCAACTCCTGCAACATGACAGGCTCTCTTCTGTCCCTCCTCTCTTCCCCCTCTCTTCGCCCTGAATCCCGCACAGATTGCTCCCAGACGGATCCCGAGCAGAGCCAGCTGCGCGAACGCTTCGAAGACGCCATGCGAATCGCCGAACGGTTCACCCGGAAGTACGACGACCTCCTCAAGGCGTTCCAGGACGAGATGTTCAACACCACTGCCCTCCTGGACCAGCTGAACCAGCAGTTTGGTTGGGTGTCCCGACTCGCCAACGCCACTCGGAATAGCGACAAACTTCTGCAGGTCGCCACGGTGGGTCCCCCCTTTGTACACTTGGGGGGGGGCACTGCCTGCCCCTTTGCTTGGTCTTCCAGAGCCGACGTCAGGGAGGAATCTCTGCCCTTCGTTCGCACGTTAGCTTGAGTCCTCCAGGATTTTCCGTTAAAAGCAGGATCTTAGACCACAGGGCTGGGAGGGGGTCGTAAATGGTGGAGGCAGCTCCAGATGTGCAGAAGGAACATCTTTGGGAAAATGCTCAGTGCTCTTGCATTCCCTTCTTGCTGGGCTTTGGACCTCGGCACGCCTCTGCTGACTTTGGCTGCAGCCACAAGAATGTGGTCCTTGATCCAGACCAGCCTTCCGGGCCCTTTGCTTCTCCTTCTTGCCCATGTCTTCCCGTTTATTTCACGTTGAACAAACAGCGGTATCAGTCTGTTCTTCTGCTTTCTCATTCTGTGACTCCTTTTGTTCCTCAATCCATGAAAGCATTCTGGCTTTCTGGAATGTTATGTGTTTCATGGCTTCTTGGTCTTTGCTTGTCTTTGCTTGAATGTTTCTTCCTTGGTCAAGCTCCTCATCTGTGAAATTCTTCGCGTCCTGCTGTGTTTAGTTTGCCGACGTTATATGTTTATAGACATCTTGCATTTCTTGGCATAGAGGAAAGGTTATTAGGACAGTTTGCATGGAATCCCCAAACTGAATATGTCTTTGGAAGACATCTTGATCAGAGCCTGCTGAAGTAACATTTTTTTAGACTTACCGACTCTCAGAGCCAGAGTCAGCCGGTCTCCAGGTAGCAAGACCTTCTCAACAATGTATGCTTGGGCGTTCCTCCTTACTTTGATAAGTACACACATAATCACGTGATAAAAGGAAGATGGGTTGGTTTGTGACTGTTGGCTGTGCGGTCTGGGGGATGGAAGCTGTGGTCGAAAAAAAAAGAGTAACTTTTCCAGTCATGGATGTTGATTGCAAGGATGGTTCCGGGATTTGCAGCATGCCCCAAAGAAGGCCGGGTACGCCATCAGAAGAGGGGGAGGTGACAGGCGGAGCCCCTTTATAGCTGTCAGGGTGGGGGGATGAGGTGGATTCTAGGAATGGTCGTCCAAAACAGACAAACACCCTCGCCCTCGTCCCTGCTGTCCCATCTGGATGCAAGGGAGGCCAGCCTTTCTTCCTTTCGTGGAGCGCCTGTTTTCCTGATCTGCCATGGGGGCTGAGAGCCACTGACTTTCCCTTTTCCTCTCTTCTTCCAAGGTCATTTCCAAACCTGCCAGTTCCGGGGACCAGGCGAAACCCTCTGACACTCAGGTCACCGTCCAGATCTTTGACTCGGACCCACTGACCATGACGGTGCCAGGAGACATCCCGCTGGACGACCCCAAGTTCATGGAGTTGGTGGCGGAGCAGGCGCTGCGCGAGTACAAGAGCAACAATGAAGTGTAAGCAGGGGAGTGGTGCCCGGGTGGGGGGGCTGGGGGGGAGCAGGGAGAGAAGCAGGCCTCCCGTCATCAGTGGGAGAGGGTTCCAGACACATCACCTGACCCTAGCAGTGCAATCCTGGCAACGCCATAGCGGACTGCACTAGGAGATGGTGGCGGGGGGGGTGATGGATGGGGTTAAACCACTTTGGGTGGCAGAGGGAGGTTGCCTGGGGCTCTCTCCCTCCTAGCGCGTGGGCTTCCCCTGCCCTGGGACCACGGGGAAGCAAGGGGTTGCACCCTCTGGGCATTTGGAGTTGAGCCCTGGCGGTGATGGTGGGGAGGTCAGACCTTCAGGAAGGGACCTCGGCAGGTAGCTGGCATGTGGGAGAATTGGGCACCTACCACACAGGTGCGCCTCTGTGCATGTCTGGGATTGGAGCCATTGAGAGCACTGTGCTCTGAAGACTTTGGTGAAGCTACAGACGCCTCTGTTTCAGAATGTAAGAAGAATCAGACCCAAACTGGCCTTCCAAATGTCCCACAGACTCCCTGCTCGATGCAGGAATAAAAATTCAAGCAGATCTTACAGACAGTGGTCCCATTTTCTCTTGATTTCTTCCAGGCCTCTGTTTCAGAATGTAAGAAGAATCAGACCCAAACTGGCCTTCCAAATGTCCCACATTTTGCTCACCCAGCTGGCCATCCATTGGGGAACCCCCTGTGTCTTCTGCCTCTTGTTTTCTGTCATAGAAAAGTGAAGTTGGAAGGGGCGTCTAAGGCCATCCAGTCCGACCCCCTGCTCGGTGCAGGAATACAAATCCAAGCGGATCTGACAGGCGGTGGTCCCATTTTCTCTTGATTTCTTCCAGGGTTGGAGGGCTCACCACCTCTTGAGGTCATGAGTTCCATTGTTGTACTGCTCTAACAGTTAGGAAGTTCTTCCTGATATTCTCTTGATTTCTTCCAGGGTTGGAGGGCTCCCCACCTCCTGAGGTCACGTGTTCCATTGTTGTACTGCTCTAACAGTTAGGAAGTTCTTCCTGATATCCAGCCTATATCCGGCTTCCTATACCTTGAGCCCCAGGTCGCGTGTCCTGCACTCTGGGAGGATTGAGAACGGTCGCATGTCCTGCACTCTGGGAGGATCAAGAACAGATCCTGCCCCTCCTCTGTAGGACAGCCTTTCAAATCTTTGAAAAGTGTTATCCTTCCTCATGAGATACATCTCATGATCCCAGAAGTGATAACCTTTCAAATCTTTGAAAAGTGTTATCCTATTTCCCCTGATGAGATACATCTCATGATCCCAGAAGTGAGGCGAGTAGTCCCCCTGACTCACAGCGGATGATGGCTCTACTTTCCATGAATCCATCGAGTCCCCTTTCAAAAGCATCTTGTGACAATGAGTTCCACAGGTTGTTTCATCTAGGACAGCTCCATTCCACACATCATGATTTTGTTCTGTTCCAACAGGGAATAGCTTTGCCGTCACCTCTGGACCTCAGGCCACGAGAAGGGAGAGGGACAGAGAGAGAGAGAGAAGCCATAGCCTCCGGCCGTTCCTGCCTCCTCGCCTCAGTGCTCCCATAGAACCACGGAGGACCCTCGCCCAACCAGCCCCTTCTCTGTCTGCATTTGTAGTTTACACACTGTGTTATCGCCTGCCCTATTTTTGCTGCTGGGTCTTCTTTGACCCAAAACTGAAATAAAAGATTCTAGACCCAACACTCCGGCTCTTGCTCTGTGTGTCTGTATGCATGTGTGCTCCTGCCTGTGTGAGAAAAGGGGTGGGGGCTTAGGAACAACATGGCATTTCTGTGGGGCACCGTTGAGTTGAAGCACAATTTAGGGGGTCTTGAGGCAACGGGGAGTGAGAGCAGATTTGATCTGTCCAAGCAAGGAACCGCCCTAAAGTTTGGTGCTCCTCTTGGGTCCGTGCACCTACCTGGTCGAGAGCCGTTTGTCTCAGCGCAGGATCTCCTGAAGGACGGCAAGCACATCTCTTGGACTCGCCTATTTCCGCCCGGCTCCTGGTTTGGATCCAAAAACGTCTCTTCTCTCATCTTTTGCCAGCAAGCCACGTTTTGGTCCCACTCATGGGAGAGGTGAATAGCAGCCCAGCAGCCCCAGGGGCTCTCGATTCCTTCAGCTGTTTTCTGCTGGCCTGCATGACGGCAGGAAACTCTTCTAGCTTCAAAAACTAGCGAGCTCTGAGCTGCTGAAGCCCAGGCCTCTTAAGACGTTTCTGGTGTGATAGAAAGCTGACCAGCCCTAATGTTTTTTTTTGTGATACTCAAAGGCTGGGCCCAAACCCAGCAGGCTTTGTGTTCCTGCCCCCGGGGCCTGACAGAATCCTTGGTGCGGATGGCAGTGGGGGGGGGGAGACCAGAATCCCCCATCCGGGAGGGAGGGCGGCTGTCCTCGGGGAGAGGAGGGGCCCTTCAGGGGAATGGAGTCCAGCGAAAAGCTTTACTGCGGCTTGCATGAATGTTGCCTCCTGGGGTGTCCTTGAACCTCCTGGTGAAGATCGTGTGAAACTGAGGTATCTGGGAAAAGATGGGAGGAGCGTTGGTGGTGGGGAGACTGGGTCTGTGAGGTTCCACACAGGCTACCTCTGGGTTGCCTTGTATCCAAGGGGGGGGGGAAACAACAGCTACAGGAGGCACACCTGCTTGGAGTGGGAGGGTTTGTTCCATTTCAGCTGCCAATCCAGGGACCCAGGTCGGAGTCCCAGACACCCCCAGATCTCCCATCTACATCGCTGTCCTATCATAGATGTCATGAAGTAGGAAAACACCTCTAAGGCCATTGAGTGCAACCCCTGTCCTCAAGGGGGGGGGGAATCAAAGCATATCCGACAGAGGGCGGTCCAATTTTCTCTTGAAGGCCTCCCATGTGGGAGCACTCCCCACCTCTCGAGGTCACAGGTTCCACTGTCGTATTGCTCTAATTTAGGAGATTTTCATGATAGGTAAAGGTCAAGGTTCCCCCCTTGACATTTAGTCATCTGACTCCAGCGCGTGGTGCTCATCCCTGTCTCCAAGCTGTAGAGCCAGCGTTGGTCCGAGGACAGTTTCTGTGGTCATGTGGCCAGCCTGATTAGACACGGAACGCCTTTATCTACTCACATTTTTACATGCTTTTGAATGGCTAGGTTGGCAGGAGCTGGGACAAGCGACGGGAGCTCCCTCCATCGTATGGATTCGATCTTATGACGGCTGGTCTTCTGACCCTGCAGCACACAAATGCTTCTGCGGTTTAACCCGCAGTGCCACAATGCCCGATACTCAACTAAAATATCCTTTAACCCGAGCCTGTGGCTGCGTGCTTTGCATTCTGGGATGATGGAGAACAGATCTTGCCCTTCCTCTGTAGGACAGCCTTTCAAATGTTTGAAAAGTGCTCTCTTATCACCCCTCAGTCTCCTTTTCTCAACACTAAACGTGCCCAGGTCTTTCCGTCTTTCCACCTTATAGGGCTTGGTTTTCCAGCCCCCTGATCCTCCTTCTTGCCTTCCTCTGAACGTCTTCCAATGGGTCAGCAACATCCTTCTTGAAACGTGGGGATCCTGACTGTGGTTGCCTGCCTTGGGGGCTGAGGTGGAGGGCTGGTTTGCCTCCCACTGGAGCATGAAGACCTCTCTCTGCACACCCGTTTCGGATGTGGCACATCCTGGCTGGGCCTCTCTCGGGCTTATGGGACATACCGGGTTTCACCGATGGGCATGAAATAGACGGACTGGAACCAGAGGAAAAAGACACAACGCTGAAGAATTAAAAGAATTCTGAGCTCCAGGAGTGGGAAGGAAGCCTCCAACCAGCCTTTGCCTGGATGTTAAGCGGTTTGGGCCACAAGCCTCTGAAGGACCACCACCTGGCCAATGACACATTTTGGATGAGGAAGAGGGTTTGGGGACTCCATCATGAGTAAGAGTTCTGAAGGCAACCCAGCCGCACCGGGGAGTCAATGCTGCTCCTCTTGCCCGTCCACCTGGGGGGGCAGGAACCACGTGCTTCATCCTGGAGGTGGAATTTTGCCCGAAAAGCCTGTGTTCACCATAGCATTGCTCAGTTGTTCAATGATCTTCTTATTTTATTTTATATTCTCTAATGGCACCACATGCTTAATACAAAGGCAGGTAATCATTGGCTTGTATTTTACAATGACATAGCACACTTTCTATTTTAGGTTTTGCAGAAAGAGATCAAAAGACAGACAAGAACCCCAAGCTGTAGGTTGTGGGTCTGTGAAAAGAGGGGGGAAAAGATCCTAACTTCCTCTACCATACCCATGCCTGGCACCCACCTAAACACCCCAAAACCCCCTTTTTGAGTTGCCCAAAAGTGCTTCCTGGAGAAATCATGGATTCACTACTTTCACGAGACCTGGGAGCGAATTTCTTTAGGGCTCCTTGCTTGCAGGACATCTGGCTCCATTGTTCATATGGCCCACCCTTTTAGGGTGAAAGATGTCCAGAGTCTGAGCGCTGTACAGGCTAGCAAGCAGAGATGGGCACGAACGGCGGTTCAGAGGTTCCTGGCGGTTCCTACGCAAGGAATCCACAGGGGGTGCCCCTTCCCTTCCCTCTGCTTCCCTGGAAAGATCCCCCCCACACCAGCCAGAGCGCCCTCCTCTTGGGCTGTTCAACCAGTCCCTGCGCTTCCCTGAAAAGATCCCCCCCCCCGCACCAGCCAGAGAACGCCCTCCTCTTGGGCTGCTCAACCAGTCCCTGGCAGGAGCGCGGGTTTCCCTGCCCCGCCTCCTTGGCGGATTACCCAATCAGACAAGGCGGTGGGACAGGCAAACCCGTGCTCCTGCCAGGGACCGGTTGAACAGCCCAAGAGGAGGGCGTTCTCTGACTGGTGTGTGGGTCAATGGCTGGGGAGACGGTGGGGGGGGAAGAAGGGGGTGTGCGCCACCTGTGGTGACCTGCCTACAAACTAGCACGAACCTCCAAACTGAGTTTCATACCCATCTCTACTAGCAAGACTTATTTGGCTGCAACCCACGTCACCAGGAGCAGCCAAAGAAGTGAAGTTTTTTTTCCTAAGGAAAGTTGCCAGCCTTCTGCGGGGGGTGGGGGGGCAATGAGTCAGTGACCCAAAGAGGGCTTTCTGGATAAGAGGGACTGAAGGAGTGGTTTTACCTGTTGTTATTCCCCCCCCCCGCCCTGGTGAGTTTCTATGGCTGAGTTGGGGATTCAAACCCTGGTCTCCCCAGTCCTCGCCCATTGCCCTAGCCATTCCACCACCCTGGGGGCCTGCCTAACCCCTCTCTCAACCTGAAGGGAATGGTCGGAAGTGTTCCGTCGCTTTCCGGCAACCTCCAGGCATCAACCCTTGTGCAACCTGGGCACAAGACAAAGAGGTGGGAGACAAGCCCTTAGACCGGGACCCCTCCGGGACGGTCAGGAAGGTTCTCCCCCGTGGAAGGCAGGTGCTGGCCACATGCCGTGAGAGGGGGATGAATCCTGCACAGGTCCACAACAAAAAAAGACAATGATATCCTGCCCTCGTGCAAGCACCAGTGGGAATCTCCCCCTCTCTCACTGCAGCAATTTCCCATCCATGTCTTAAAAGCCCCCCCCACCGCCCCCCATGACCCTTTCCCACAGCATGACAACGCACAGGAAGGACACCCACAGCAGTTGGGAGCCCCTCCTCAGTGACATTTGGCGAGGTCCTTGATGAAGTCTGCCACATGAGTTACGGCCGCGTCGTTCATCTGGCAAGGGTAGAAGCCGTCCTTACGGCCGTGTCGTTCATCTCGCAAGGGTAGAAACCATCATGGAGGGTGAAGCGGGTGTGCACGGTCAGCACCACAGCCGGATGCCGCACCTGCTGCTTGGTGTCCACGAAGGCCCCCAGGTTGTCCTTTGGGATCAAGTGCATCACCACAAAGAGGACCTTCTGCTCACCTGGAAGAAGAAGGAAAGATGGAGCCATGAGACCATGCTGTCGTTCATCTCGCAAGGGTAGAAACCATCATGGAGGGTGAAGCGGGTGTGCACGGTCAGCACCACAGCCGGATGCCGCACCTGCTGCTTGGTGTCCACGAAGGCCCCCAGGTTGTCCTTTGGGATCAAGTGCATCACCACAAAGAGGACCTTCTGCTCACCTGGAAGAAGAAGGAAAGATGGAGCCATGAGACCATGCCTTGGGGGAGGCCAGAGAGAAAGTGGGGGGGGGACACACCCTCAAGGCAGGCCCCCCAGGCACAGATCTAGGGCAGGAGGGCATGTGTGCTGGCCTCGGGGGCCCTGGCCTGTGAGCCCCACAGAAGGGGATTCTTGACAACCCAAGGGGAGACTCTGGAGTCCTTTGCTAGGGGTGACCCACAGGCGCATGGGGCTCATGCAAGGGGATCCCAACAGTGGCTGGGGGGGAGGGATACAATGCAGAACGGAGGGCAAGGAGAGGCCACCCAGACAATTTGTGCCCCCTTCAAAGCCAACGCCTTGTCTTATGGGGCTCACGCAAGGGGATCCCAACTGGGTGGCTGGGGGGGGGGACACAATGCAGAACGGAGGGCAAGGGGAGGCCACCCAAACGGTCTGTGCCCCCTTCAAAGCCAACGCCTTGTCTTCGGGGGATCGAAGAGAAGGGGGAACCCGCAGGCGGAGGCTTGTTCTCTCCTGGCTCCTCTTCTGCAAAGGGCCCGGGCCCCTCTCTCTCTTCTCCCACTGGCTTGGAGACAACCTCCCCGTTTATTCTTTTGGATCCCAAGC